CCCCTCTCCCCCATGAGAAATCTCCAGGACTCTCTTCACGTGGGATCCTGTTCTGTAGTCCCTTCTAATGCCGTAACGCCTTTGGGTATACCGTATGCTTCCGATAAACAAGACATTGTTCCTCCAAGACATTGTTGCTCGTGCCCCTTTTTCTTCTCCTGTATCTGACGAAATCCAACGGTGGAGAAGGGGTATCTCTCTAAACGAACGCTCGATCTGATGCTTGGAACCAAGTTCGTAAGTCGTAAGTGGGAACTCTTTTGTCCCCGGTGGGCAGTATACATCGGTGCCCATATGTACGATGCTCTTCTCTGCTCTCTTTCTCTCTCTCTCTCTATTCCTCTGCGCGCCGTTGGCTGTGCATGTGTGCATGTATACTTCACATACTCACTCACCACCACGATTCGGTCACAACACATCCTGGGTAATAGGCCTCATCTGCTTCTCCTTCCAACTCGCAAGCGGGACCTTCACCCAGACGCCGTTACTCGCTCTCATCCACGTGAGATTCCGCGTCGAGATGAGGATCCTCGGCTTCTGCTTGGGGTCGGCGTTCGCCGCCGCCGCCGCGGAGAAGGCGGAGAAGGGGGATACGCGGGCCGCGTGGAGCGCGACTTGTTGGTTGAGCCAGTGGTCGACGCGGGCGGCGGTGGCGTAGAGGGATGCGAATCTCGAGGGGTAGGTTCTGACTGGTGCCGTTGCCGGCGCCTCCGGGGTGGGCGTCTCCGAGACCGTTGACTCTGTCGACTCCGTGTCTGTTGTCGATGGGCTCCCCGCTGCGGCTGGGTGTGCCGGGGTCCTGGGCTCGGGAGACTGACGGGAGCCCGCGACGTCTCGGTGGCGGTGGAGTTTCCGGCGGCGGCTGGCGGCGGAGGCTGGAGACGAGGACGACGAGGCCTTGAGCTTGAGCTTGATCGCCTTTGGCTTGGTGCCGGGGTTCGGGGTGGTTGTGCCTGTTGTCGTGGGCGGGGTGAGGATGGGCTTGGAGGGCAAGAGTCTGATTTTGGTGATGGGCTTGAGGTTGGAGGCGTTGGTGTTTGGTGTGAGGATGTTGGGGCCGGCGCCGGCACCGGTGGATGGGGTTTGGGGGTTGGCCATTGTGAAGTCTTGTAGTTGAGGTGTTTGATGTAGTGTAAGTGCTCCCTTTGGCCTGGATTGGCCCCTTCGATATGGTGAAGTTGGTTGGTTGGACTTTGAGGCCGAGGCGGAAGTTTATACTTATTATGCCCGGTTGGAAATCGCAAGGCGATTAAAGCGGGAGGAGAGTAAGTTGAGATTGAGGAAGGATTTTTGCCTTGAGTCTTGAGCAAGTCGAGTTGGAAAAGATGTTGATATCGAGGCCCAAGTCGTTTTTCAAGTCTTCGTCGTTGTTACAATATGTTTGCGTTTCTTCTTCAGATCCGCAAGGTGTATGAAGGATGTAGAAAGAACCAGAGAAAGATGCTAACAATAGTAGGGCCCGAGTACGCCTTTATAGATCGTTCAAAGGACGAAAAGGGCGGTTTCTCGAATATGGGCGGTGGCCGAAGAGGTGAGTGAACGAAACAACGGAGATGGCTATTTGCCTGATTAGGGAAATTACACGGCCAAAATGGGACTTTTCAGATGAAGAAGTTGGAGGGGAGCTTTTATTCACTTCCTTGCCCGGTCTGACCTTGCTGGGCTGGGCTGAGCCATCTCCGTCACAATTTTGAGGGCGAGGCGAGGCAAGGCGAGGAAATAAGGTCGGGTGGGTGGTTGGTGGTTGAGAGTGAATGACCGACCTGCCTGGTCCGCGTGACTACCTCACCCTACCAACCTATCTCCGTATACACCTCAAGACTCGAAAAGCCCCACAAGGCTCCAGCAGTCACTCGGCCTCTCTGTGATTCAGACAGTTACCATGCCTTGTCTTTTCCTAGGTTTTTCCAAGGTTCGTGGTTTTCATGGGTTTTGACAACGGAGAAAGATCAAGTTGAATGAAACGGCTCCTTTCACGCAAAAACAATGTGTTGAAACTCCCCTCTATTTCGGGCATCATACAAGCTAGACAAAGAGTTGATGTAGACAACGTACTCTCAAACACACAATGAAGAGGTCAAAATCCTTCAATACCTCTCTTGTTCTTTCGTTCTTTCCCACCTCAGTTGCAGATTTTGAGCATGGATCAACGAATATCTTGAACCCCTCCCCTTCACTCCCCTTGAACCAACTGACCGACCTGATAAGATAGATCAAATGGCGACCTAGGCGAAATTTGACTCTTTAATTTCTTGCCTTGTACTCGGCGATAATCTTGTCGATGCGTCGCTCAGCCTCCGGCGTCGTCTTTGGGTTATTTCGGGGATCGGAGCCGCTTCTTGGAAGTAACGGGTCCGGGAAATGCTCTGTTTTTTGGAAGTATTTTTGTAAGCTTAGCCCTCTCATCTCTTTCTCTTGACTTGCTTCAACCATGTCGTTAAGGTGGGTGCCATCAAATCACCTCACAAGCGGGGGGGGGGGGGGGGAGTTTGGAATTGAAGCGAACGAGGTTCACTTACTGGGGTCGAATCTCTGGTCGAGAAGTTTCGCCTTGAAAGACTCGTACTCTTCTCTAAACTTCTTATTGTTCCAGCTGGGTGCGGCCGCTACCGCCGCCGAGGAAGCTTTGGGGTCGTCTCGGATGCTTCCTCCAGCCTCGGAGCTGGGGGTCTGAAGCTTTACGCCACCTGCTGCCATTGTATCTGCTGCTAAATAAATTTCCTTCAACGTTGTGTAAACGCGGGTTGCTGAAAAGTGATGAGCTGTTTGCCCATGTATATCCTGGGGTTGGGTGTTTGTACCACCGCTCAGCTGTAGCTCGTGAACTCACCTTGAATCCCGACTGGGCAGTAGGAGGATGTGCCAAGAACCGGCGGACAGGGTTTCAGGAGATTATTGAACAAAGGCCTCGAGAGTTAGGAGGGAAGTATTGAAATGTGGGACCTTTTGCTAAATCCTGTTGAAGAAGCTAAAGTTGAGGTTATTCCGTCACAGCTCTGCCCAAGCACCGCAGTGAGTGATAGAGTGGTAAGTCAGGTATGAGGTGAGATGGACATCGCTCGCCTGCCTCCAGCTGTCACCCGGGCCCAGCCAACCCCACCATTCCAAGGGTGTTTCCAAGATCCGATGCGCCTGCTGACCCCTGGGTGCCCCTCCACACAAGTCCGGAGAGAATACTTATGTAGTACATAATTTTTCGCCCAGATAGAGGCCAAAGTCAAAGTAAACATCATGTCCATGGCTCAGCTGAGGGGAGCTAAAAAAAAAAAAAAAAAAAGCCGTAGCCGCCTCGGACGCCTCTGACCAAGGCACAACCGACAAGGGGTCCGTTAACCTCACTCATCTCATCCCACCTTTTTTCACCCTTCTACCTTTAACATCATTGTGAGCATCGACTTCACCACCCTCTGGACAACCTGCCATTTTTGGTTCTTGTGTGCTCACCTTTATCCTATCCACCCATCCAATGCTCCCACATTAGCCCGAGATCACCGCTCGCCTCGTCACGGTCACAGCACACCTCTCTCCTCCCTTTCAGGTCTCAGCTTCCTCAACCGATCGATCGCCCACCACCTTTCTGCAGGCAGGCCTCGACACCCTAGTGAAGCTTCACCCACCCCCACCATCACGGTCACGTTATCACAAACTTGGGTCGCTTCAGGAAACACCACCCGACAAGAAGCTGAAAAGATGGTCAAGAAGGGCGGCGCTTCTCTCGTCCCTGACGCCTGGGAGGATGATGACTGGGAGTCCGCAGCCGACAAGCTTGACGCCCAACCCACAGAGGTGCAGCCTGAACCACAGGTACCGATGACCAAGGCAGAGCGGCTCGCCCAGCATGCCGAGCAGAATCGAAAGCTTTGGGAATCAGCGTATGTCTTTTTACCCGGAGTTTTTCACGTGCCCAAACTTTGGCCTTTTCTTTAACCTATTCCTTGTACTGCCAATGGCAATAATTGTCAATAGGGAAAAAAAAAGAAGAGGCAAGCAGCTAACACAAACTTCAACCTTCACTAGTGACTCCCCCACGCCCACACCAATGACCTTCCTCGAAGCCCAACCCTCAGTCCCCCTCGCCACGGGCTTCAAACCCCAGGTCAAAGTCCTGAGCCGAAAACCCGCGCCCCGAACAATCGCCCGGCGCGACCCCGTCACCGGCCTCCTCTCCCACCTCTCCCTCGCCGACGATGACGCCGACGATCAGCACGCCGAGAAGAAGCCGCAGCTCACGCCCGAGGAAATTCGCGCTAAGCAGCAGCGTGAGCTCGAGGAGAAGCAGCGGCGGTACGAGGAGGCGCGCGCAAAGATCTTTGGCGAGTCGAACCCTTCCTCTGGCGCTTCGAGCCCGAGTGGGACAGTCACGCCACCTAGAGGGGGAGGAGGAGGTACCGAGAACGAAAGAGGTGGAGGGCGCGGCCGTGGACGAGGACGGGGTCGTGGCGGCGGCGGCGGTGGTGGATACCGAGGGAACTCGAATCGACAAGACGACCTACGACGACCTGGTAGCAGTCGATCCGACGCCGTTCGCGCCGAGAGCGGTCGTGAGCTCTACGACCCCGGATACGCACCCCGAGGCGGCTTCGGGATGCAGAAGCGTGGGGGCGGCGACAGCCCAAACACGTACAACACGTACAACCCGCATTCTGGACGTTCAACCCCGAGAGACGTCGAGGACCAGCCCAAGCAGGCCATTCGAGCTCCACGCGGACCGGATGGGACTGGAAGAGGTGGATTCGGCTTCGCCAAGCGAGGCACAAAGGAAGGATGAAATTATTGCTATGCTAATTTGACTCTTCCTTTCCTTCACAGAGAGAGAAAGAAGAAACAAGCAAAAAAAAAGACTACCAGCCTCCACCAATCTTTCCCGCCAGCTGAACGACGCGCTCCGTGTCGCTGGCCTTGTCCTTGCCCACGTCGCTGACCACCTCGCGATACGTGGTGAGGGCCAGTCTACCCAAGTCTATGCCAGTGCAATCCGCCCAATGCGCCAGGGTATCTCGAATGTAAGAAGGCGAAATTCCGTCAACAACGTCGTCTGCTACTTGCAGACCGTCACCGTTTTGAGTAATACCGTTGCTCTCCTCGCCGTCAGAGTCCTCTGCTGAAAAGTAGGCCTCGTCGACCTCGGCCAGGAAATCCTTCTGCTCCAGAGGGCCCGGCTTGCTCTCGTAACCCTTGCGCTCCACGACGATCGGGTCGTCCACCTTGATCTGCCCACCGCCGTTGGTGCAGCCGCCGGGGCAGGCCATGACCTCGACGTAGGCGTACTCGAGCCCGGCAGACTTCCCTGTAGGTCTCCTAGCGGCGCCAAACGCCTTGCCGCCGGGCATACGGGACGGCCGCGCCGGCTTCAGCTTGCGGACCAGGTTCTGGATATTGCGGAAGCCGTAGTACCGCGCAGCCTTGAAGATGGGGTCGCCCGTGGCGGAAGCGACGACGAACTCGACGACGTCGGCGTTGCGGCCGCGGATGACTTGGATCTGGGAGTTGGGGTGCTTGGAGGCCACGGTCTGGAGGGTGAAGTAGAGGTTGCCGCCGGAGGAGCCAGCGGCCACGGAAGAGCGGTGGGCTCCACGGGCCGGGAAGAGGAACTTTTCCAACCTCGCGTCCGGGAACGGCGTACGTTGGAGAACACCGGCGGGTGGCTTAGCCCGCGGTAGATTAAAGAAATTGAAACCCCTTGACTCGGCCAGCATGAGAACCTCCTTGCTCGTGATAACGCAGTCCACGTCGCGGACCCCTCTACCGGGCTTCCCGTCCCCGTCGGGACCCCACACCGAATCCGTCAGCTCCTCGCGACTAGCCTCGAGCTTCTTGTCGAAGCACGGCATGACGGCCAGATGCCAGATCCTGCTGGGCGGGATCCCTAGCTTCTTGCTCAGCGTCGTCTTGAGGAGGGTGCCCATGAGCGCCTGGGGCGACTTCACGCGCGACAGGTGCGGGAGGACGTAGGGGTGCGTCTTTTCGGCGTAGCACACCCACCCAGGACACGAGGATGTGAGAATCGGCTTGGTCGCGGGGGTCGACGGTGACGGGGACGGCGAAGCGCCTGCTGCCGCTGGGCTGCTGCCACCGCCCAGGACCTCATCCGCCCCGAGAACAAGACACGCCTCGCGCGCAACGTTGGTATCCAACACCCACGTGAACCCGTTCCCGTGCTTTCCCCCGCTGGCAAGACCTTGCTCGCCGCCGAAGAGCGCGTCCAGCATATACCCCGCCTGCCTCTCCGTCGTGCCATCCCCCGCAGCAGCAGCCAGGCTCGCCCTCGTCTGCGGCGAGACGCTCGCCACGAAGAGCATCCTGCTCTCGTCCTCGAGCCCCTGGACGCGGAACTCGCCCGTGGTCGGGTCCGGGCCGACGATGCGGAGGGACGGGCCGAAGTCGAGGGTGTTGAGGACCTCGGTGTGGGATTGCATGCTCACGAGGACGGCCTCGGCGGAGGTGACGCAGCCCGAGCAGGCGAGGCAGTCCGTGAGGGAGATTTCGGCGGGGGGCGCGTTGCTCGCTGCGGCGTTGGCGTCGGAGCCTGGTTGGCCGTCGAGGATGACTTCGTGTTCGAGGGAGGCGTCGAGGGGGGGTTGCGGGGGCGCGGAGGGGAGGGTTTCGATTGGTTTTATGCAGGCTACGCCTGGACTTATGAAGTCGTTCAGGTCGTCTGCGGAGAGGATTGCGCTCATATTGGAGGATTTTCTGGTCGTAGTGTCGTGAGGCGTAGAGGAGGTGAGGGAGGGAGGAAGAGTGGGAAGGGAAAGGAGGGGAGGCGGGATGTCGAAGATGGCGGGGCAATGCGCGGATGCGATGCGATGGAGAAGTTGACGATAAGAAGTGTGAGTCGCAACGCAGCGGGGTGTGAGAGAGACGCGAGAACACAAGCCGTTCGTCCAAGTACGAGTATGAAAACGATGGGAGAGAGCCTATCTTGGTTGTGGAAGACCTGTGGTTCCTCCTTGTGTCCCGCGAGGCCGGAGATGCGCAAACCGAGTGGTGGATGGGAATTAATCGTTGATTGCAAATCCATCCCCCACCACTGGGTTTTTTTTTTCGCAGAGTCAACACTGCTGACAGTGCAGGCGCGCCTAGGCTTTGCGAAATCGGCATCCACTCAGTGGCGGGATGGTGAAAAGTGGACAGGGACCTGGGCGCCCCTCGCGGCATCGGCCCCTGAGGACCTGACAGGATTACAGGGGGCATTGCAGCTGGCCGACGCAGGCCGTCAAGTGGTAATCGAGACTATGGAAGCCATGGCGGGCAAGGGGACGCGGTGCCGGGGGCCCGTCCAATGACGTCGGTTCGTCGTAGCTCTCTCTTCCCTGAGCTCAACCTTGAAGTCACCTCATTCCACGCGAGGCAACGCTCTACGAAGCTTCATTAATACAGCAACGCAAGCTCTTACAGCAGTGATCCGTAGCCTTCAACTTTTCAATTCCACCTAGATCACTCGTCATACAAAAAAGAAGTCGAAAACTGCTCACCGTATCACCCAATGGACGTAAGCCATCTTCCATCCACCATGCTCGTCTCATAGAAATCCTAGCTGACATGTAGCCCTACCACGAACCAATAGGCGATATCAACCTTCAGCTTCGGAAACCTGGGCTGGCTCGTGACCCAGGCCGTCCCGCTCATCATATGGCCGCGCTTCATCACCAACCTCCTCCGCCCCGATGACTACCAGTACGCCGCAGGCTGTAAGTCTCTCCGTCGCCCCCATCCCACCCACCTCGTGTGAGTCCCGAAGAGTTGACTGACTGACCAACATAACCCCCAGCTCTAGAAGACTACTTCGCCCGTTCCCTAGGCTTTGCCCTCCTGACCCTAGGCCTCCTCGTCGTGACCCTCTCAGGAGCATTACCCCTCGCATCAGAGGACCTAAGTACGATTCCCGTCATCCCCCCTCCGTCCCCTTGATGCCCGGACACCAAATCTCTTAGTCTATTCCCGGTTCGCACAACTAACCTCCCAAACAGCACCCGCAGGAACAGTCTCCCCCTACGCAAACGCAGCTCTCATCCTCTCCTCCGTCCACCACGCCTCGGCCGGCTTCTACTGCTACAGCAGATGGCTCCGAACGGGGCAGACGGCCTTTGCCCTCGGCTGCCTCGGCAGCGCCATCTTCGCCGTCTCGGGGCTGTGGTGCCTCATGTTCGCCGGGGACAAGTCGCGACGCAGCAAGAAGCACGGCTACGACAAGGACACGAGCTCGTTCCCCTTTAAGAATACCGAGTCGTATAGATCCAAGAAGAAGGGTTTGTAAAGTGGAAACGGAAAAGCGAAAAGAGAGAGAGAAAGATTGTAGCTGTTGTAGATCGAGAGGATTGGCGGTCATCTGAATGCTGGTGAACACAGAATGGTGGCAAATTAGCAATAATGATTTTCCTTGATTATGTCCAATGGGCCTTGACTGTCATCTCGTGGTTAAGGTAATACAAGAAAAAATTCACCCTTCACACTTTGCGCTGCCAAAAAATACCTTTGTGAGATGGCATGTTCGGAGTCTTATGCAAGGTTAAACAGGCAAAGAAATGATAATGAGAAAAGCAGTCATAAGCTGCTTCTTTAAGTGCAAATTGAAACACTCTCCCTAGTGTACATATACTCCATGCGCCTATTCCCCTGGTCGCCTTCCTCATGACTCCCGTGATGCATCAAGAGACGTCAAGTTGTGCTGTCCATACTCTTTGCTTCTTCTTGGGATGCTTTAGTAGGTATCGTTTTACGTCCTCCTGCCAGACGCCCGCCTCCGTTTCCTGCTTCCCTTGATCTCATGACGGCCTTGACGAGGGTGCGCAACGTTCTGCTTCTTTTTCCGCTGTCTGTTGTTTTTGGCAAGTCGGAGCTGTATCGTTTCCTATAAATTCCTCGGCCACCTCGACCGCTTCGAACGCACGCACACCGGTACCGTCCTTCAGGTGCGTTGTGATAAGGTGATAAAAAAGCATAAACCAGCCGCAAAAGATGCACAGAACTGGGGAGTCACCCATTCCCTAGGGGACTCCTTGATATTGCCGCCGGCCTAGGTCAATCTGTCCAACTAGAACTGGACGCCTGGGTTCCAGGATACCAAGCGCTGACCCTAACTAGCTGCCGCTACTTCGGTGGATTTAGCTCCATTCGCCAGAGTCTCTTCGGCCTTGGAGGTTTCCTGGGAGTCTGCGCCTTCTCCGTTGGTGACTGTTTGGTTACCTTCTTGGCTCTCCAGCACGCCCGAAAGCTGGACATCTGCTGCGCCAGAAAGGACTGCCTGCCTGCGTTCATGCCAGTCGACCTCACTCTTGACAACCTGGGAGAAGAGAACCTCCTTCTCGCGCCACAGGTCCTTGTACTGCTTCTCCCAGTACTTGACCTCTTCCGCCAGCTTGACCGACTCCTCTTGCGCCCACTTGACTTGGAATCTACAGAGCTTGTATAGCCTCTCAAGGGGGATCTTGAGCTCTTCAGGAGTGAAGCCTTGATCTTCAGTCAAGGGAGTAAACAGGTCGGCAGAGAGCTCGTCGTCGTCAGCTCCGTCATCGATGGCATCATCGTGTCCCGCAGCGTGTGATTGAGGAGTCTTGATGATGATTTTGAGCTTTCCCTTTCCCGTGGGGCCCGCTTGCATAGACTTGGGGACAGGGTCGGAGGGACGCAGGGCCTCTGTCTCGTGGACGGTCCGCATGTGCTTAGCGAGAGCATCTGATCTCGTAAATGATCTATCGCATTCTGTCTTCAAGTTAGCCGGTATGCCCCAAGGCTCTGCAAAGGATGGTCACAAACCTGGTAGATAACAGTAGAAAGGCTTCTCCCTGGTATGGCTTCGCATGTGGGCTTTCAATGCGTAACCACTAGCATGCCCCATGCTCTTTCTACTGCATCCGGTCCATTCGCACGTGTATTTCTTCTGCCGGCTTTCGATGTGATCGCTGTGAACATGCTCCACCAACTTGTCCATGTTGCCAAAATCACCCGCGTCGCAGCCTTCCCAGGCACAGGAAGTTACCTGCTCCTGGAAGTCTTCCTCGTCTAGTTTGGCGTTGATGGGAGAGCTGGGAATGTCGCCAGACGTGTCCGAAGACACGTCCGACATGCCCTCCAAGGGATCCGGCTCGGGTACGGCTTCTGGTTCGGGTTCCGCGACCACCGCAGGAGACGTTGTCGAGGCTGCGCCTAGCTTCTGGCGCTTCGAGGGACGCAGGAGCGACTCATCCTCATAATCGTGGACCTCCTCCTCCTCGGAGGTATCGTTGTGGTCCGAGGTGAGGGGTGAGTCGGGCGGTGTTGAGTCTCCACGAGCCATGTTGGGCCGTTGAATGATGGAAACCTAGCACTTTGAAAGAGGCAGCGATGAAAGGCTGTGGATTGTTCGGTGATCAAGCGTAAGAATTATCGCTGCGAGAGGGGGGAGAGATCGGAGATCAATATAATGAAAAACAAGCTATGCGCTGCTATCGTAGATGGGATGATGAATTAATTGGGAGTAGCCAGCGGGATGCAGGTCAATCGCTAGAAAAATCACATCGGCCTCGTTCCTGACAACTTTAATGATGTTTGCGCCTGGGCTCAATCCTCAGGGTGTCGCGACGAGCAGCGCGGCTCACGGAGCTCATCTTGTGGGTCCACTTACCAAACCAACTCTGCCAGGTGTCAGGGGTACCCTCAGAGGGCAGCCAGTGGGAGCCAGCTGTCAGCGTAAATGACGGCAATCGCCTCCTAGCCAGTCGGTGCCTGGCACCCTGTGACCACAACCAGGCACACAGAGGCAAGCCGCACACAGGCACCCACCCGGGCTCACCCCCTGCAACTGTGACTCGGGGGTCGTGTGGAAAACAAAATAAAGTGACTTTGTTTAACCCCTCCCCCACCATAAACATCCCCGACATACACTCATTTTGCGCCTTCGCTGCCACCTTGCTCCCAGCCTTTTCAACACTCCTTGCTTATCAACAAATCTATCATGGCGACCACGCGCAAGGTGTTCTCTCTTGAGGGAAAGGGTCTCAAGCTCGATACTGGCGCCGACCTCGAGCCCCACATCGCCGACTTGCGCTCGACCGACGTCGAAGAGGTCAGGTTCCTGGGAAACACCCTGGGAGTCGGTGCTTGCAAGCTCCTTGGTGAGGTCCTGGCCACCAAGAAGAACCTCCAGGTAGGCGAACAAGAGTTTCCAGCACACGTAGAACCATCCACTGACCAAAAGTGACTAGTCCGCCGACCTCTCCGACATCTTTACCGGCCGTCTCCTGAGCGAAATCCCTGAGGCCCTTTCCTCCCTCCTCACTTCTATTCTCAACCTCCCTAAGCTCACGACGATCAACCTGAACGACAATGCTTTCGGTATCAACACCCAGGCCCCGGTCGTTGCTTTCCTGGCTGCCCACGTGCCCCTCCAGCACCTTTACCTGAACAACAACGGCCTCGGCCCCCACGCTGGCATTCTGGTGGCTGATGCGCTCTCTGAGTTGCACGCCAAGAAGGAGGCAGCGAGAAAGGAGGGCAAGGAGGTCCCATACCTCGAGACTGTCATTTGCGGTCGCAACCGTCTGGAGAACGGCAGCATGCAGGCCTGGGCCAAGGCCTACAGCCTTCACAACAAGATCAAGGAGATCAGGATGATCCAGAATGGTATTCGCCAGGAGGGAATCAGCCACCTTATTAGTGAGGGCTTGAAGACTGCGACCGAACTGCGCATCCTCGATCTCCAGGATAACACCTTCACCATTAACGGTGCCAAGGCCCTTGCCGGTGTCCTTCCCAACTTGACAAACCTGCAGGAGCTGGGTCTCAACGATGCCTACCTCACGCCCAAGGGTACCAAGGTTGTCGCCAAGTCTCTTGCTAAGGGCAAGCAGGACAAGTTGGAGACACTTCGCCTGGCTTTCAACGACATCACCCCCAAGGCACTGGAGAGCATCGCCGGCGTTGTTACCGAGTCTCTGCCTGCCTTGAAGAAGGTTGAGCTCAACGGCAACAAGGTTGAGGAGGAGGACCCCTCCATCATCGCCATCCGCGAGTTCCTCGAGGAGCGCAAGGAGAAGATTGGTGGCGATGTCGTTGATGAGGACGCTTGGGGACTTGACTGCCTGAGCGACCTCGAGGGAGAGGACTCTGACGAGGAGGAGGAAGAAGAATCCGAAGAGGAAGAGGAGCTGGATGCCGAGAAGGAAGCCGAGATCCTTACCAAGGAGGCTGAGGAGGCCCAGGAGGAGCCCACCGTCCAGCTCAAGGACAAGGAGGTGGACGATCTGGCCAAGAAGCTGGCCAAGACGGAGATTTAAGAGATGTATGGAAGCATTTTCTTTGGTTTACAGGTTTAGATGATGGAACGCAAGAGGAATGACCCCCCATTATACAGGAGTGAGGAGACAGAGACGATACCCCCCAAAATTACACTTCATCCCAAACAGTCTTGACCGTGGTTATTACATGCAGATTGTCATCTGACCGGCGGGAGTCCGATGCAAAAATATCTACGTCATTCTCCTGGGCATTTAGGCTTGTCGCAGTACGGGTGGTGTGTCCGGGGTAGCACCAATCCCGATCGTCACTCCACGGTCACCCCACGAAGCCGGCATCCACGGCGATGCCATATCACAAGATCAACGAAATGGAATCGCGTGAGCTTGAAGGGTAGTATATAGTATGCGAAAGACTGTCCCTTTAGATTGATAGTTGCAACTACGAAATGATTTCACGAATAACTCGGGTAACGAATATACCTTGACGAACAAATACACTGCACAGAAAGAATTCACCCCCTACTCACCTGAAGCCAGCAATCATGGACTACTTCTTCAAAACCACAGACTCGGTCATTGAGATCCTATGGGACGTCGCGCTCGCCTTCTTCGTCGTTCGCATCGCATTATCGTACTTCTTCTTCACCTTCACCGCAACAACGCTGCTCTCATGGACCGTCTATACATATCGCCAATACTTACGACTGCCCCTCGTCTCCGATCAGCAGCAGCGGTATCTCACAACCTCACAAAGCGACCCTTTCGTCTCGGCGGTGATGCTTCTACAGATCGTGGTGGGCCTCGTCGTTGCGCGGTACGTGGTGGCGGTCTACGACGTGCCGCGCGTGGCGTGGTTCCGGCTTGCGATCGGAGGTCTGGCGGCGGCGTTCCTGGCCGGCGCGGAGGGGCTGCTCGGGTTGATTATATCTGTGTATCTACACGAAGGAGGGGAGGACGGAAGGGATCCATGGGTTTGGGAGAGTGGGGATGGATGGGCGTCGGTCGCGACGATGCTTGGCGGGTTGGTTGCCTTTGCGGCGATGCCTGCAGTGTTGATGTGGCTCGAGAGGGCCGAGAGGGCTCCGGCTCCTGCTGGAAGGGCTGAGGGGAGGGAGAAGATGGGGACGCAGGGGCTTGGTGGCAAGGGAGTTTGAGGATGGGGAATTTCAAGCCAGGGAGTCAAAAAGTCGGAGAAGCCCTGGCTGTGAGGAATATCGAAACCGGGATGCCGGCGTTGCAATGGATTTGTGTTCATGTCAAGAAAAGGGAGTCTTATTGTCTAACGTTTTGGAAAGCGAGACATGGCTGGATAGGAATCATCAGGGGAAAAGGGTTTTTGTTGGAGTCTTTGGTGGCCCTGCGTGTAAGTTTGAGTCTTGAGTCTTGAAGATATTCACCATGAGGGCATTGTGGTTGGTTCGTCTGGGGTTGGAGTTGAAATTACAGTGTATCCCAAGTTTATTGCCTTTGCTTCAGCCTTGAGGTCGTCGTCACTGAGACTGTAGGACTAGGCTATTGGATACTGAATTCTTTTGGATCGAGCAAGGATGAAATGAAGAAGGGCCTCCGAGAACCGGTAGAAAGTCAGGTATGTCAGCCGAGACATTGTTCTCAGAGGCGGCGCAGCGTTTGTGGGCTGTCAGCCATGTATTGGCGTGTAAGCCAGGGCGGGTCAAATTTTTAATCTCTGGAATGTTACGGCCTTCCTACTTAAGCTATCCTCCGGGAAGGTTTTACGCCCTCGTGGCGTTTGGCCTGCCCTTGGATCCTGCTTGCTTGGATTTATGGAAAGCTACAATGGTGCTCTGGGAAAGTTCCAATAGATGAATGAAAAATCATCAGGATACAGCTGCAACGGAACCGGTAAAAGAAGAAAAAAGCATTCGATTCTGAGAACCTGCGAGGTTGAGGTGGGATCGGATGGCAGCTGTCAGCGGGCAAGGTACATCGGGCGCTCCCGCTGTGGTGTCGCTGGAAAAGTGGCAGGGTTTCCATTCTTCAGCGTGGCCACCTCCCCGGGAAAAGCGGGGGCATATCCGGAACCCCTAGGCTACGGATACATCTGCCGTCTGCACCTGTCCGACTACCACCGTACCATATTCTCTACCCAACCTTGCATACTCACTCATATTTTCTAGCAGCACTTGAACAGCCTCCGATCTGCCAGTGCCAGAGACACCTTTTCATATTCAAAGGCATCACAAGTGACTAGCGCTTGTCAACAGGCTCACACGAAAGGATTCTGTCCAATGCTTGGGATATGATCTATTGGACTGGGCAAATATCTCTGAAACTCCAATCAAGCGCTTCTGTTGGCAGTTGTGTTCAATTTTGAAGTCTCATCGAAGCATCATTAACACGATCAAAGTTGATTTGGGAAGAGAGAAACCTTGCTCCAGTCACATTATCTCCTGTCCTGTCTCCAGCCAGACGAGTGAACCAGAGTTGGTAAACGTTGATGGGCGTCTTTCCGGGAAACGTGTGCCGGAAGTCTCATATTCCCTTTGCCTTTTTTCTTTTCCAGCCCATGTTGCAGATGTTCCCTGGCTGGGGCCCTGTGGCCCTGGAGGAGATCCAGAACTTCGGGGTGGAGGTTTCTCATTCCTACACGTGGTAGTCGACTGCGATGTCAAGGGGGGCTGCTCACAAGGCCACTCCACCACCACCACCTTCTCCTCCTCCCATTCCAGTGCCTCCAATACTGCTTTCTAGCATCACTTGGAAAGGTCTTGGAGGTTGGTGAAACTCGCACCACCAGACTCTACTCATTCCTCGTCATGAAGCATCCACGCAATACCCCTCCATCGTCGGGAATCACTCCCCCACTCTCTCTGGATAGTCAACGTGGGAGTCTTGAGAAGGGGAAAGGGAGGCTCAAGTAGCACGACCATAACCCAGAAACAATAAGAAGAGCCGTCCATCTTCGCACCAACCCGTCCAGACCTTGCTCCCCCCTTTTCCCCTGTCGATCAAGCAAGGTAAATCCAGCCTTCTCCATTCCCAGAAAGCTGAAGCAGTCTCGCCCACCATGGTCGGATCATCCCTCCTCCTACCTCTCCTCGCCGTCCTGGCCTCCATGGCCGGCGCGGTACCAGTAAATGAGCGCCGCTCCGTCCGCCCGACGTGCGGAAAGCCGGGCACGGTGGTGTCCACCACCCAAGTCACGATACCCACCTCTCAAGCGGCGACAGCAGCACCCACGAGTCCGCCCGCGGTGTCTCTTCCTTCACCCATCACCGTCTCCTCCTCCTTTGTCACTTCTCGTCTCGCCTCGTCGACTTCGGCGGGGGTACCTGGCGTTTCCTCGTCGTCGGCGAGAACGTCGGCGGCGGCCTCCTCAGCTTCTGCTGCGCCGTCTTCTCTATCAAGTGTGCGAGTGTCCAGCACGGGCACCGCCTCTCCGCCTGCCACCGGCACAGGAACCCCGGCATCGGGATACAGGAATGTCTTGTACTTCACAAATTGGTACGTTAAATGAAAACCCCTACACCTGCAACGGGACCCCAGATGTCCTCCGTGCTAACTTCTGCTTCAGGGGCGTCTATGGGGCGAACTACCAACCAGCAGACATTCCAGCAGACAAGGTGACGCACTTACTCTACTCCTTTGCGGATATCCAAACAGACGGCACGGTGTAAGTTGATCCCAAAATACAAAGGTAGAAAGTTTGCAAGAAGTAGGGAAGAGGCTGACGAAAAGAAATTCAGAGTCTCGTCAGACCCCTATTCAGACACGCAACGCCAGTACTCTGGCGACGACAACCAAGCAGGTAACGCCTACGGCTGCGTCAAGCAGCTCTACGCCCTCAAGAAGCAGAACCGCCAGCTCAAGCTCGTCCTCTCCATCGGCGGCTGGACCTGGTCCAGCAAGTTCCCCGCCGTGGCCGCCTCGGACACGGCTCGTAAGCAGTTTGCTTCCTCTGCGATCAAGCTCATGATTGACTGGGGATTCGACGGGTAAGAAGAACCACATACACGCAGAGACTCACATACACTTGTGCATGCCTTGCGCTAACAAAACCCCCCATTTCGCAGTCTCGATATTGACTGGGAATACCCAGCCAGCGACACGGAAGCCGCAAACTTCGTCGCCCTCCTGAAGGAAGTACGCTCCCAGCTCGACGCCTACGCCGCGGCCAACGCACCGGGCTACCACTTCGCCCTCACAATTGCCTGCCCCGCGGGTCCCTCGCACTACAAGCAGATGAACCTCCGCGGCATGGACCCCTACGTCGACGCCTGGCACCTCATGGCCTACGACTACGCCGGCTCCTGGGACACCACGACGGGCCACCAGGCCAACCTCTACCAGAACCCGTCCAACCCGACGGCGACAAAGTTCGACACCCAGACCGCGCTGGCGTACTACCTCTCCCAGGGCATCGCCTCCAACAAGGTCGTCCTCGGCCTGCCGCTGTACGGCCGCTCCTTTGAGAACACGGCCAACGGCGTCGGCCTGCCGTACTCGGGCGTCGGGACGGGCTCCATCGAGCCGGGCGTGTGGCACTACAAGGTCCTTCCCAAGGCCGGCGCCGTCGAGGTGTACGACTCGACGGCGGGTGCACTGTACAGCTACGACAGTTCCACAAAGGAGCTCATCAGCTACGACAACCCGGCGAGCGCCGGCGTCAAGGCCCAGTATCTACTCGACAATAAGCTCGGCGGCGCCGTCTTCTGGGAAGCCGCTGGTGACCGCAAGGGCGAGGGCAGCCTGGTGGGTGTGTTGGCGGGCAAGATGGGCAAGCTTGATTCGAACCAGAACTTGTTGAGCTACCCCAACAGTCAGTATGCCAACATTAAGAGCAACCTAGCGTAACAGAGGGGCTCTGGTTAGGTGCAAGTTATTTGTGCCTTCTTTCAATTTTGTTTTTGGGCAGGTCATTAGAGGCGTTGGTATGCGCTATGTTGCATTTCTTGACGGGATATGACTTGTAATGAAGTCTTGGGACACGGGCTTTTAGCGATGCATATGAGATACGGCCGAATGAGGCCAATGAATTAGACGGCAGCATTCAAGTTTCGCCGAGTACTAAAGAGGACTTTGCTTGTAATGACCAACATTCAGTGGACTATTCTGTATTGGAAACTGACCAAAGTCACCGTTGAGTAGCCACAGCATTCACGTAGAAACCAACCTACCTCTTTGATCAGTTCAGCTCCCTCAAGAACATGGGCGACAGCTGAGGTTGCTGAAACTAGTCAAGAACTTAGTGGGACTTTTGTGATGCAGCTCAACGGGCGCACAAAAGAAGAAACAACAGCGGAAGTATGCCGAACGGTCGAGCACTACGGAACGGGAGAGTATTGTCATCGGACCCGAACGCTCTATCCACAACTGCCGACAGCCCTGGCTCAGGGCTCCAGTGCAAAGGTCGAGTGGACTACCAACGCCGTACGTTTTACGACGACTGCATGGCGATCGCCCGTGAGGAGCTTCCAGGGGCTTGGCTCAGCGCTTCGGCAGGAGCCGAGGACTGTATGAGTTTAGTGCTGACGGGAGGGGGCGAATAATCGGTGATTTGGGACTCGACCGGGTCGCTGTAAAGGGGTTAGTTGGGCCCCAAGGACCGCCCACTGGCTCGATCCAATGGCCTAGACTTTGTTCTTGGTTCTCCATTCGAGCCTTGTAGGGTGCGGTGGGAGCTTGAATAGACTTCTGTGCTCAGTTAGATTGTCGAACCGAATTCTTGGCCTTGTCGTCCAACCAATTGTCAAGGTCTTGGTCCAACGTGAGGTTCCCAAAGGAAAGGCTCGTCCCACCGTGCAAAGGCTCCAAGTGGAAGCGACCCCTCACCGATGGAGGCCGGGGAGGCTGCCGAGGCTGGCCGATAGATGGGCCGTTAATCCCAGAACAGTCTGGGGGAAACTGCCGACCTGGAGATGGGATGACGATGTTGATGGGTGGCCGTCGTCACGATGGAACTCGACTTCAGATGGTTTTGCGTTCTTCGGCGATGAGTCGCTGACAAATCGAGGAGGAGAGGGTAAATTGGATGTCGGAATACGACTGGCACTCGGCGATAGAGTCTCAGGTTCTCCTAATGGTAACGGTCCATGGAGTGATTATAGGTTGGGCACATGTGCCGTTTCGTCGACTAGATGAGTCACACGGCCAGCGACCGAGAAAAGGCGCACAAGAGTACCAATGGCACCCTTGTCGGCGTATGAAGAGGGGGAATTGGCGGTTGCGGAGGCAGCGGAGCACCCGAGAAGATCGGCAGAGGAGTTGGTTATCATGTTTAGGCTACCGTGTATTCGTATGTGCTTGAATGCCTGTGTAACTGGTGCAGGTCAGACTAGCTGCTGGGCATAAGCATTCGACATGATGTTGAGGTTGTCTGGTTTATTGGTGTTGGTCGAACACCCAGAGCAGCAGCCAATATTGGATCGGAGCGATAAGCCTGGGGAATTGGGGGGACGTGAGGTTGACGTCAAATGGAAAGGATTCCTATTGGAGGGTTACATTGCTATACGGGCTATTCATCAAGTGGGGTGTTCTTTCTTTGACTCCAAGCCTCCAAGCCACCCCGCTTTCGTCATCAGCTCAGCTGGCGGACCGTGAGCCATGTATCCGTACCTTACCTTTCCATGCCTGTATTTTTCTCCGCCAGTTCCAGCTCTTGATTGAGCGCAATATTGCAATATTTTGGCCCAGGCTTGCTTCATCTTTTGTGCGCGGGGTGATGGAGACAATGATGTTGCTTAGTGACTGTCCATCTCTTCATGACTCGAACCTTTTGCAGATAACCTACCTACAGTAAGGTCAGTACTGCGTAAGTACCTAATGTCTTGTCCCATATCTCTTGCGTGTAAGCCGTTTATACGCAACAAGAATAAGACCGATGATGATCCGGCCGACGTCCAGGTCACTGGGCCGTGGTAAGCCGGTAGAAACATCGTGCATGACCTTGCACTATTCCGCATACCCCATAAGCTTTCGTAGTATGACTCTTGCGCTGTACTGAATCTCTAACATGGCAACGTCAACCAAGGTTTCCAGACCAAGGACTGGATGGCCGTCGCTGACAGCAGTCCACTCTTAATTCCGTTAAGTCCGTCGCAGGTCCAGAATGCGGTTTTGAGCCGCTAGCACTCAAAGTTATTCAGGGTTCCATCCCAGCCAAGAAGTTGCTGGAGACTTCCGACACCAAGCTTGGGGACTGGGTTTATCTTTTTACATTGGTGCTGAAGTGCGCTTCGGGTTCCCTATCTGCTTATGGAGTGTTGTACCCATATGCAGGCATACAATGCAGCTCGGATAGAAGCATGTAAGAGACATGTTCCTAACGTCTTTGGACCTAGAACGTGTGGGCAGCAGGGAGGGGTATGAACGCTACCCGAATTATCCATCGCCCAATCTTTTGGGGTGAGCGTGTATCCGAATAAACTACGAGATATGCGAGTGTCGGCAACCCACCACAACTCGAGAGTTCAGGACTCGCCAGGTGTGCTATGCCACCCTTGTCTGCGTTGCATCTTAGCGCCATCTGGACAGGGTTAGCTGTGAGTAGGCATCAATACACGCGTATGTAAGCCGTCCTGATCAGCAGAACCTCCAATGCGGCTACATTGCGGGACGAGAGGAGGGGAGCAGGTAGGAAGTGGAAGGAAAGAGGAGGGAGACGAAGGAACATTGAGGTGGTGGCGGGTCTCTCTCAGGTCTTCCCCTTCACCCCCTTACGTACCTATCCACCCCTGCCTGTCGTTCGCTGATCATGCTGATGGCGGCCTGCGGGTGCTGTTCATGATTTTGTCGAATCTTTCGACTGCGATAGTATCCGTAGCAATCTCAACTCTTCCCCTTCATCCTCTCTCTTGCTTGACCTTTGCTCACCCACCCCGCAAGTCGCGCAGCTGCTGCAGACGTTACACGGCAATCTCTCGACTTGGACTTTTCTCAATTCGTGGCTTGGTCATTATTCCATTTTCTTCCTTCGCGCAGAGTCTAGTACAGGGCAAAAGTACCCCCAAAAGTGGTGAGTCTTGACTTGCTTGGGCAGTCAGGTTGTGTGGTCGCGGGCCACTCGAATCCTTCCCTTGCCCCAACCCGAACCACCAAAAGCTGACGCCGCCGCCAAAGACGCGATCGCAACCTTCCGACACCTCGCCTTTCTTTCGCCATCTTGTCGTCGCGCTGACTTGCGCTACCGCTTTCCGACACTTGCCACAAACACCTGCGGTATATCGAGTCTACCCTTGCATTGCGCCCGCATCCTAACTTTGGTGCCTCGACGCCGACCCTATCTTGAGACCCCTGCGCATTGCGGAACCTCCCACCGACTACCATCTCCAATTGCTCCTTACCTTGTATCCGTACACGGGTCGACCGATCCGACCTACGATTGCCGTTGCCTGTCAGAACCTGTGGCAAGATTGCGCTTTTACTGTGGCGCCTTATCACACTGCGACATCGTCAGCAGCCTCGACGTCTAGCTGCCTTGCGCCCTTCGCTCTCTGCGAAGTAACGAGCTTCCCAAGCAGTCACTGACCTTTGAGGCGAAACCACGGTCATTGGTCTTATTCCAAGACTTCGGACTGTGACCAACGAAATTCGAGTAGCGCATCTTTGAAGGCCGGACGGTCACATTACTTGCGCTTCATACACTTGGCCGGGCCTTGCTGAAGTACTCGGCCACTACACCAACCTGCCGAGACCGCTCCTCCAGGGTTAGGCTGCCGACGGTCTGGCCGTTGTCAACGTTTCAGTGGCTAAATTTGTACACTCGTCCTGAGTGTCTGACAGCCAACTTATCGAGCTCTTTACTCTTGCCTCGCCGTATAAGGGATCTTTGTCGGCCAGTGCCATCACTGGTTCCGAAGCGAAGAGTATACACCTGCGTGTGTTGTGCTAGATAGGACCTCGAGTCCGGAGCACGTTTTCATATCCGTGGAAGCCATCGCCAGAGGTCTTTTACGACGCATCTACCTGTTCCACGGATTCCATTGCCATCATGACTCCCACACCACCATCCACGACGCCCTCCTCGGGATCAGGTCGGTCACCCGAGGAGCAGTTTCGAGTCGTGAGGAAGAGGAATAGGGTACCTCTCAGCTGCTATCCGTGTCGGACTAGGAAGTGAGTGCCAGATAAATGCCCCATATCGACTCAACTCGCTAACTTGCTTCACAGATTGTGAGAAAAGATTCACGGCCCGTCACACCAACGCAAACTGACCGATTTGTAGGAAATGTGACAGAGGTCACCCGTGCAGTAATTGTGTAAAGCGTGAGGGTGGTGATGCGTCCTCATGTTCATACGCTACTCCTGCTACTCGTAAAAAGAACCAAAGTCAAGGCTCTTCGAGCCCCGATGACATGCAGAACCGTATTGACCGTTTAGAAGGCCTAGTTTTGTCTTTAATGCACGGAGGTGCTACTATTGACCCTTCTACCGCAGCAGCAGCGGCCGCCGTGACAGGCGCCTCGACAACCAAGTCGAATACTGACAGCACACCTACCTCGGCCAAAATCGATCCCGACGACGAGACACAAATGCGAGATGACGATGAGGACAGTGATCCTGATGGCGAGCTAGCGACATCTTTAGGCGTATTGAAGGTCGACTCAGATAAGGGCAAGTCAATGTACATTGGCCAGGAGCATTGGCATACGATACTGGCGGACATATCTGAAGTCAAGACATATTTTGCGAATCACAAGAAGGATTTGGAAAAGAGCTATGAAAAGGTCATGATGTCGAAACCGGCCAGCGCCAGAGAAGGACCTACGTTTTTGCTTGGAGCCGCGCCAGCTACTGAGATCGAACTGCGAGCGGAATTACCACCCAAATCGGCCGTCCTTGCGCTCTGTTCCAGATACTTCAACTCGATGGACAATGCGGTAAACATTATTCACGCGCCGACTTTCCAGCAACAACTTCGAGCCCACTGGCAAGATCCGTCAAAAACGCCCATCATGTGGCTTGGATTGCTCTATTCTATTTTGTGTCTCGCCATGCTGAGCTACCACAAGGTAGGGGACGAACCGCCGGAGTGGAAAGGGCGGACGCTGGACCTGGCCTCCGAATATCGACTACGCACCGTCCAGTGCCTCATTGCGGCTGATTACACCAAGCCGGTGGAATACACCGTGGAGACGATGCTTCTCTATGTGTTTGGAGAATACTCTTCGAGATGGGATGCTGATCTGGGGCTGTGGCTGATCGTGTCCTTGCTCACAAGAGTTGCCTTCAGGATGGGGTACCACCGCGACGCAAAGTGGTTCCCGACGATTACACCGTTTCAAGCAGTGAGTTGTAGTGCTCCAGATATATATCTCTGGGCAAGTCAGTGTTAACATGGTATTCTAGGAAATGAGGCGGCGTACGTGGGCACTGGTGAGGATGGCCGATGTGGTGTTCTCACACCAAGTTTCGCTGCCATCCATGATCTATGGTCATGATTGTGACACTCAGTTGCCGAACAACATCTTTGACGAGGAATTCGGTCCCAACACCAAAGTTTTGCCTCCTTCACGGCCGAAGACGGAGCCCACCCCTATTGCGTACATGATTGCCAAATCCAAGCTATGCAACGAGATGGGTGACATCTTGCAGGCCACCAATCGTGTGGGCAGGCAACTACCGTACGACGAAATTCTGCGGTTCGATGCCCGGCTTCGAGAGATCAACGACGAGATCCCGCCTCATCTCAAGGTTGCAGCCTTGGAGGGTTCGCACGACCCAGTCACTTTGATCATCGCGAGGTTCAACATCAACGTGCTCTACCTCAAGATCCTCTGTCTTTTGCACAAGAAGTACGTGCCGCGAGCTCGTACAAATCCACGATATGCCTACTCGCGCAGAAGTGCAGTAGAAGCGGCTTTAGAGACGTTGCGGCATTTGGTTACCCTCGACAGAGAATCACAGCCTAGTGGCAGACTTCGATCTTTGAGGTGGTTCGTGAACTCGATAGCAACCAAGGACTTCCTTCTGCCTGCCATGCTGGTTGCGCTTGACCTCCACCACGACCGGGTTGCGGAAACGAGCGATGACCGCAGGGCGTCAGAGTCGGCCATGTTCTGGACCCCAGAGCAGCGGATGGAGATGCTTAGCAACTTGGAGCGGACCAAGGAGATCTGGCAAGGGCTTGCAGACGGGTCGATGGAGGCCTTCAAGGCATCCAAAGTCTTGGACATTATCCTGGAGAAGATCAAGGGCCCCAATCCTGAAGCCGAGGTCTTCAAGAACGAAAGCTTCCCGGGTTTTGAGACAAACCCGGAAATGCAATCGGACCACAATGCGGCAATGACTCTGGGTATGCTCTCTGGTGGCATGACGCCAAACACGGCAGCCGCGCTCGAAAGCAGTATGCAAAGTACGAACTCGTTTAGCGGCATGGACTTTGGAGTGTCGTTGCCCATGACGGGCCCAGGCATGACGCCAAACTTCCAGGGCGACATTGGCATGAACAACGCGGGGTCTCCGTTCTCGATGTTTACAAACTTCGAGTCTGGCGGAGATTTCCCCGCCAACTTCGACTGGGTATGTTGCGATTCCGCCAATGGCATAATGACGTGGTGACTGACAATGTGCTAGAACGCATTTGAGACGTACACGCAGAACGCGAACTGGGCAGCTGATACAGGGTTTGGGCAGATCTATCCAGGTCAATCCTCGCCAGAAACAGACGGTAACGGGATGCCGTTTGGCAACGCCAATGGCGGCATGGCAGGCTAAGGATGCGTTAAAGGCCCGAAGCGCGGGGAGAGCAGTGCAATGGATGAGGGAGGTAATGTGACGATGAGATCAATGACAGAATCAGGAAGGCCTGAGCGATTGGTTCGTTCAGGTGGACAAAATGGGGAACTAGGCATACTCACCTCCGCGTTAGGCTCGGCATGGTAGGATAGAAAGATGAATCCAGATTTTTAGGACATTTGGAAAATACAATACCCTGCTCCCTTTTTTTTTACACGTGCTTCTTGTTCTACCTCTACCAAGTTACACGTGCCAGAGAGATGGGAGTGGTGAATCGTGGAGACTCCGCCTTGAGGTGACATTGGATGAACCGCGAGTGTGGTGGTTGGCCACATGGACGGGATGACAGGTCCCAAAGCGGGCGTGGGGAGGTGGCCGTCCGGCGTGGCATTCGGCGCCCATGCCGGCGGTATGCACAGGATTCGGTCCGTCCCTGACACCATGTGCGACGGCTGAGGTGGGCGGGCGGAGGTTTGGCGGAGGTGATGGTAGTGTTTGGTGGTGAGTGAGCGAGCGATGTTCTGCAGATGCCAGCAGCAACTCTCTTTCTTCCTAGGTTAGGTTTCCCCCCGCGCCGCGTGCCTTGCGTCAGGCCCAAAACGTCAAAGTGAAATGTTGAATCCTGTGCCTGCAGCGTGGAGGGAACAATGCGGGGAGAGGGGATCTTGGCTTGCGCGTATTGGTGGGGGTATAGGCAGGAACAGGAACAGGAAGTTGGGAACACTCGCGCGGCGTTAGGAACATGGCATGCCGCATGTCGCACCACGACCACGACCACGGGATCTTTGAGTCGTTGGTTGATGGTTCCCTCCCCTTCAAGCACCCGTGGACGCGGCGACGCGCGAGCACTGTCCACTTGACGTTGCCGAGTCATGTCGCCGGGCAGGTAATCTGTCCACTGCGTCCAGTACCTATTACTTTTTTATCTGTAATTAATAAAAAGCATGGACGAGTGATGGCTCGCTTTCTGATAGCTCTTGTTAGTTGCCGGTACGCGCCGACGAAAGCGAGGTACGAATATTAGTGAACAATAGCGCACAGTAGGTACGAGAATACATCAAAGAGAGAGAGAGAGAGAGCAAAGTAAAGTTTGCTGTTTGGTATCAAGATCAGCAACGGCATCACTTATTCGGTCTTGGCAACGGCCCCCTAAGCTTTCCAAGTTTCCATCTCATTTCTCGGCCGTTGCTTGCTTAACTTTTTTTTTTTTTCCTTCTCTCAACCACTCAAGGCAACCTCAACTCCGCCTTTTCTCCTGTTTCCCATCTCGGACCTCTGACCCCCCTCTCCCACCCTTCGCTTAAAGCCTCCACGACCACAACGAGCAGAAAGAACAAGACCCCGGTGGTAGTCGTTGACTTGACCTTTTCGGACCTTGGCAACACCGATACATCACTTCACCAGTCTCCAGGAAAGTCCCAACTACCCCGTTAGGTAGCGGCATCCCGGAGCGGTGAGTGATGGGATAACCCCGCTGATAGGGCCGATCGTGTCTACCTACCCCAGTTAATACGACCCCCCCTTTCAAAGCCGCCTTCTTGAAGAAAAATCGAAAGAAGGAGGTGGGGGGGCGGGCGTCCGCTCAAGAAGTTCTCCACGGGACCTTGCCCTGTTGACCTTCTCCCGTCACCGGCCCCGGGTCTGGGAAACTGCAACAACGAGAAAGGCAGAGGGAAGGGGAACTCGTATTCTTTCTCTTTCTTTTTCCTTTAGTTCAAAAGTCGAGTTGGTTCCTGGTTCCTGGCAAGTTTTTTTCTTAGGCGAGGAACTAGGACTCGACTTCAACCTCCTCAAAGGCTCCCGCCATCCATCTCTTCATAGTCCACCAACGATTATTCGATCATCATTATCCGACCCTTCTCAACATCGACTGCCTGGCAGCGAAAGAGTCAGAAACCGAGGTAGTCATTATCCTTTCGGATAGAAGACAGCCTGATTGGCTTACCCTACATCGCGCCCCGGCCCCTGAGGACCCCGAGAAAGAGCCAGACGTCGCCTGCTCCGCTGACTACGGCTTCGGGGGTAAGTCACCTTACTCAATCTCCGCTGTAGCTCATCTCTTATAATCTGTTAAGCTTTCGCAAAGCCGGCCCAGCGCCCCGGTTTCCTTCAACGCACATCAGCAAGCCTCCCAACGGGCGGCTGAACCGCAATTCTCGCCTACGCCATCTCAAAGCATCGCACTCTTGCCGCCGCGCCCTACTCCGTATTCCGCCGCCTTATTCGGCTCTGGGGGGATCCCCTGCTCCAGATCCGGCGAGAAAAGGCTTGAGAGCGCAGACCGGGCATGGGGCCAACCGTCTAATCTTGTCAAAAAAAAAAAAAGTTCAGACTGAAGGTCCGCCAAGAAGTCTATCCGATTACTCGTTGCTGTTCTAAGCCCATTTTGGGTTTAAGGTTGAAGGGGAGAAAACGAACATATAAGTTACGACTTGGACGCCTTTCACGAAGTTTCACGCTTTCTTTTCGCTGTTTAGACTTGTTCTGTACACTCTTTTTTTGTTTGTTGTTTCGTCACTTTTCTTTACTTTCTTTTCCTGTTTAGTCTCTTTTCTTTCTTTCTTCGAATATCGGTCACTCTCACTCTCACTCTCACTCTCGGAAACCTGAAAGCCCGCGGAACGATGAAGGCTCCCACGACTTGGTCGATCCTGGCGGCCGCCGCCGCTCTGCACCAAGGCGCCGTCTCGGCACTGAGCGCGGCGGAATGGCGGTCCCAGACGATATACCAGGTCATGACGGACCGATTCGCGCGGACGGACGGGTCGACGACGGCGAGGTGCGAAATGTCGGATCAGACGTACTGTGGTGGTTCGTGGTTGGGCATTGCGCAGCAGTTGGATTACATTCAGGGTCTCGGTGCGACGGCTATCTGGATTTCGCCCTTTGTGAAGAATGTCCAGGGCAAATCCCGTGACGGGTGAGTTGGTCCCTTTCCTTTTAAGTTGTCATGAGATGAGGCACAGGAAGTGGTGCTCTCATGAGACATGATGAACAGCTCCAAAGAGAAAACTTGGTCCAACTCGGGAAAATAGAAATCACTTGCTAACATAACATCAGCGAATCGTACCATGGCTACTGGGCGCAGGACATCTGGGAGGTTAACCCACGCTTCGGCACCGCCGAGGATCTCATCTTCCTCGCCAATGCCATCCACGCCCGTGGTATGTACCTCATGGCCGACGTTGTCACGAACCACATGGCCTGGCTCGGTCCCGGCAATACGGTTGACTACTCCATCTACCGCCCCTTTTCCAACGCCTCGGCCTACCACACGCCGCCTTGCGTCATCGACTATTCCAACCAGGACTCGGTCGAGAGATGCTGGCAGGGTACCGACGCCGCTTCGTTGCCGGATCTTCGCACTGAGGACCCACGCGTGCGCCAGGTTTTCAACGCCTGGATCAAGCGCGAGGTCAGCCGCTTCGGCTTCGATGGCCTGCGACTCGACAGCGCAAAGCACGTCGAGCCGTCCTTCTGGCCAGCGTTCGAGGCCTCGGCCGGTGTCGCCGCCTTTGGTGAGGTCTTCCACGGCGACCCAGTCTACGTAGCCCCTTACCAGGACGTCATGAGCGGTGTTATGAACTACCCCGTGTACTACTGGCTTACCCAGGCCTTCCAGTCGACGACAGGCAGCATTTGGAACCTTTCCAATGGAATCAAGACGCTCATCACAACGGCGCGTGACCTGACGCTGTACGGGGGCTTCCTCGAGAACCACGACCAGCCTCGCTTCCTGAACCACACCTCGGACCGCACTCTCCTCAAGAACGCGCTGACCTTCAGTCTCCTTATGGACGGCATTCCCATCATCTATCAAGGTCTGGAGCAGGGGTTCAGCGGTGGTGAGACACCGTACAATCGCGAAGCGCTGTGGCAGACGGGGTTCAACACGCAGTCGGAGCTCTATCTCTGGATCTCCAAGTTCGTGTCCCTGCGCTCGACGCTGGCGGCGCTGGATGGCGGGTACCTCTTTTACAAGTCCCAGCCCATCCACACGGACGACCACACCATTGCCATGCGCAAGGGCTTCGACGACGGGCAGGTTGTGAGCGTCTACTCCAACGTCGGCACCAACCGCACCTACAGCGTGTCTCTGGCCCAGGAAGACACGGGTTTTCGGCCGTGCAAGCTGATCCTCGAGGTCGTTCAATGCCGACCCTACGTGACGGATGCGACAGGCGTGCTGAAGGCGACGAGCGGGAGCGGGGAGCCACTCGTGTTTGTTCCGGCAGACAAGGTCATGGGGACGGGTATCTGCGCAGGTGGCATAGGCAAGCGTCCTCCTCCTCCCCCTCCCCCTCGTCGTCACAAGCCTTCTCCTCCACCTCCACCTCCCTCTGGGACATCCACCGCAACTGCTGCCCGCTTCTCTACCACGCGCCTCGCTGTTGAGAGTACCGATTATAACTTAGATTCTATAGGACGTTTTAATAACATCACTTTGTCGCCTTGCTTGACATCCCAGCTTTGATACGTGTTCCGAAAATTCGAAACTAAAAGAAACAGCAGACTTTACATGCGGAAAAAAAAAAAAAGCTCAAGACGAAAACAACAAAATCAAACTCCCGACCAAACAGCAACAAGTCTTCTTTCACAACGCTCATTCGACAACTTACTTTCCTAGATATTAGTGTGTAGTTTTTTGGTTTATTCCTTTCCGACCTCTCACCCACCTTGGGCGACGGACTTGTATATCGGTAGGCAAGCGACTGGGCGAGAAGCCTAGGGGGGATTATTCACTTCTCTGCTCTAACGGTTGGCAATCCAGGACAGCCTGAGGACACACACTCGAGGCATCCTTATACCCGCAAGACCACCTTTAGGCGTACATAGTTTGTGTGTCGTTTTTTTGCGACCCCGAACATAACTTTACAACAATGAACATATGGGAGTTCTACACTTGTAGAAGCCACGGTTTTCAATCTCACACTTCGTCATCGTGGGGGAATGGTTACTGAGACTGGTGATATATTCGTGATTCATATCCCTATCCGATGCTGCCAGGTAAATTGAAATGGTATATACAAGAAGTTGAAAAAGGTTGAAGATGAAGAAGAAACGATACAGAGTCCAGCTCCGGAGTATCGATCTCGTGATTTATGCCAGCCCGAAAGCCCCCTTGGCCCTAGCCCAGTACGCGACACGGTCCTCGGTGCCCGAGGTACCGATGCAGTCCATGTAGAGGGTGAACCCCTTCACCGTGCCGGCCGCGAGGTTCTCCCTGACGTCGGCGTCGCACTGCGTCGTGAGGAACCAGGCGGCGGAGCCCCAGGTGTAGTCGTCCGGCATCACGAGCTCGAGGATCTGGTTCTTCTTGTCGTCCGTCAAGCTGTTTCCGTCCGTGACGCCGCCCGCGATCTCCGTCGCCTTGTCTTTCAGTTCCGGGATCGAGAGGGCGTACATGAGGTTGTACCCCGCCATCTGGAGGTTGCGGGTGCCCTGCCCCGGGCGGCCTGGTTCGGGGAAGTGGTTGCGGTTGTAGCGGAAGTCGCCCGTCTCGAAGGCCATTAGGGAGAGGAGGGCTGCCATTTCGCCTTTTGTCGTGACGTTGTATTTCTGGAAGGCTTGGGGCAGGTAGGACGCCACGTGGGATGCTGTTGCGCATTCGTCTGCGAAGGTGGTTACGCCGTCGCAGGAGGTTGATTTGGGGGCTGTTGTGGCGATGATGGATGTTGCGTTTAGGGGGGCGTCTTCGTTTGCGCGGCGGGTTGGGAGGATTGGTTTGGCGAGGGTGGAGGGGAGGAGGAGGGCGAGGGCGAGGGGGAGGAGGGCTGTGAGGATCATGTTGGAGGTTGTTGTTGGTGTTGTTGTGGTGTTGGTTTGAGGTGGGTTGTAAGAGGTGTAAGAGGTGGATGGGTGATCTTGTGTAAGGTCAAGAGGAGAAAGCGTTGGATGGCGATGATGCTGATCGTGAACCGTGATATAGGAAGCCAAAGGTTACACTGGTTATGAGAGAAAGGCTTTTCAAACGAAACAAAGACCCCGAGTACAGACAGAGTACCAGAGCCGCAGCAGGTGAAGGAACGATTGTAAGGTGGCAGAGTGAGTGACACAGTCAGATCAGAAAAAAGAAGCGAAGGACTGACGAGAGACAGAGAGAATATGAGAAGATGAGAAAGCAGACGCAAGGAAGAGCGAGGTGTTTGTCTTTTTTTGGGAACCCCCCCGGGAAAGGAACCAAAGGATCAAATGAACCGGGCTGGGATCTGTGGGTTTTGAACAGTCCCGCCCCTGGGCACAGCATCTTTTGACGCGGGTTCACTAGAGCCCTGGAGGTGAGGTGGTCATGCGCGCGCGCCGTGTAGAAAGACTTTCTGCTTAGTCGAAAATGCAGGAACGAGAGCCAGTGCCTTGCTCCGTTCGGAGTTCCCTTGAGGAGTTCCATTCCCTTGGTGGAGGTCTAGTGTAGAAGAGAGGTGATGTTCCCGTCGCCCCTCCGCGCGCTTGCGCCAGTAAGATTTGCAGCTTTCCTCTCCACACGGGATGACCCTGTTCAGAATCATTGCCGCTGTCCGCATATTCGGCAGAAAGACGTCTAAAGAAGTAAAGTTCTTTTGGGCAAGTTTGTGAGGGGGTTCCCAGGATAGGGGGTAAAGAAGGGATGGGATTGGGAGGGTTCTAGCTAGGTGCAGCGTGCTCGTCAGCCAGAGATCTTCGGCGAGGCCTCTGCGAGGTGGTCGTGGTGAAACGAAACAGGGGCCAAGCCTACCCCCGTCGACATGTCAAAAGGATGCAGCTGCGCCGTAGTGATTGGCTGAGGGGCTGCGGCTGATGGTGCGGAGCTTCGTGATGTTGCCTCCCTCCCCCCCCCCCCCCGGCTCGGGGGGAATTTGGAGGGGTAATTGGGTGATGCCGTTGCTGCCGAAAGGGCGGCAGACTGAAATGCTTGAAGGAGGCTGGCTGGCTGGTGTGTGTTTTTCCCTTTCCCATCACCTGTTGTGTAAGTCTTGTGGAGTTTGGCGAACAGCATGGGCTGGCGAAAGCAAGTTGCCGCAGCAGCTTGCACGCATTTCGAAACCCACATACACATGATATGGCAGACTTTTTGCTTCTTGGGCGGCAAAGACTTGCTGTCATCCTGTCTTTCGTAGCAAGAGTCAGGGGCAGTCCCAGAACGACGCTCGTGTACTCTGCACTGTTGCAGATAGACTGGCGCGAGAGATGATGATCCGTCTTGGTTCATGCGCCTCGGACGGCCAGCCTTACTAAGGACTGGGGTGTGTCACTGTAGTACTATGTATACTACCTGTACTGGCGGCCTTGAAATGTACTCGGGAATCAAAGTTAATTTTGGCAGAGAGCATGACAAAGACCCGGTGGAGTCTCTGTCCGTGTTCAAGATGCTTTGATTGCGAAAGGAAACGCACATAACGTCAACAGGGAATTGTTTGAGCTCTGGCGAACATGGGCGCTGAGTGAGATGTTGAAGCGAAGGATTTCGAGTCCGATGAACTGCCCTGTTCAAAGCCCCTTCCTTGTCAACTGCAGCCACAATGCTCTGCCCTTGGCTGCTTGACTAAGCAATTCCCCGGTCTCCACCCAACCCGAAGCGGATCGACCAATGAGAATGTGTGCCTGGCCTAGTGACCATCAGCGCCAAAGTGGTCGGCTCCTCAGCCCATTGAAGCTCCGCGACCGCGACAAATCAATCATACAATCCTCCCCTCGTCGCGACCAAATTCAGCTTCGACTCGACCGCGCCGCATCGAGTCAACCCACACAATCCGACAACTTACGCGCGCCCGCGCGCAAATAACAACCGCGCACACGCACACGCACACGCACCTCTGACGAACAAAAAGCCATGGGCGAGAACCAAGCGAATGCCGCCAACGCGGCGCAAGGCCCGGCTCCGACAATGCAAATGTACAGAGAGGAACAAGTCCGCCTGCGCCAGATGCTGGACAAGAGGGCAGTGATCGCCAGGAAACTCGCCGCCATCGAGGCCGACATTGAGCAAAAGGAGACGGCCTACCTCGACACCACGCCAAACGGTAACATCATTGCCGGCTTCGACAACTACATCAAGGGCTCCGGCGCGGCCGCCCAGCGGCGCAAGGCCGGTGCCACGGAGCAGAACCGCGTCTTTTCACGGAGTTCGGTGTCGTATCGCCCTGGCAGTGTACGTCTCCCCATCAACCGATATCGCTCTGGACACAGCCGCTAACACAAAAAAAATTGTAGGAAGCCACGACGCCCGGCTCGACCCCCGCTTCGCATGCGCCGACTCCCTTGTCGACGTCCTTCAAGGACGGCGGCGGTTCGAACCACGCGACGCCGACCTCCGCGACGGCATCGAAATCCGGCAAGAAGAATAAGAAGCAGAACGAAGAAGACAGCGACCACGACTCGCAAGCGCCGAACAAGAAGCGCATCAACTTTGGCGCCGGACGCAAGTGAGAAGGTCTCTGTACGCCAGGCTCCATCACACATGTTGGATGAATCGGCAAAGAATGATGTTACGAAGATTTTCTTTCGGATTATGGCAATTTCATTTCGCCTATTGCTGAGGCGACTTCTTTCTGCTTCGCAGCGGTTGCAATCTTCGTAGGCTCCCAAGGACGTCTTACGATTGTGACGTGGGGACCGAGAAAAGCTGTTTGCCCAGCACCGCTTACTTTCAGACGTATTTGTATATAGTTCATGCACAGGCGACGAGTGTAGAAAGCTTGGCCTAGGAGGCAAAAACGTTGGTGGGAGTTGAGGAGTTCCGGAACCACGATACCCTAAAGGGCTTTTTCCAACAGGAAATCTCATCCCAATCACAAAGTGTTGGGCAATACATTGTGGCCCATTGGCTCTTTTTTCATCCAATCCGTCTGTCCTAGTAACACATCAGAGATGAGAGGCGATTCGACCAGAAGTGTGTATGTTTGGCCGAGGCTAAGGTCTGTTGCGGGCACTTTTGCACCGAGACGTTGCAAAAGTTCGTCTCCACCCGGTACTTTTGCGCCGTTGGACCCTTAATACTACGACGGAAGGAGAATCTACTCATATCTTCGTATTTAGGCATTGAGACCACCTGCCAACTTGAGAGCATCTCTCTGCCCAATTTATTTCAAAACACTCTATTTGGATCAGTAAATTACTGTGCGGGAACAGCTTCGGTCTCGATTATTGCCCTCCTATAGGGTCCTTCGGAAGCGAGCTGCCCTCCGTGCTCGTAGAATCTTGGGTTCGAGAAGAATCAAAAAGGAGGATAGACACTTAAAAGGGTGGACTATGGGGTGAAAGGACAATCTACATGGAGGAGAAAGATACCTACCTACCTAATACTAAAACTCAACCTATATTGGGTACATTGAACAGAGTAGAGAGCCACCCTACTCAGATGTTCTCAATTCCCAGGCCTGCAAGCTTCTCATATTTCCAGCGATATCTCGAACGATGGTCGGTTTCCCCAGGCAGCTACCTACGCACACTTTTATCTCAACTATTTTCGACCTTCTCACCCACCGCCCGCCGCCGCCGCCTCAATACATCAATGGGAAAGAAATTTGTTCATTGTTATCACCAAGGCCCATGGCGTGGCGGGGAATGACCTCGTTTGTATAGCCCCACTCCCCTGGGTCACGAGTTCGAGTTTGGTGAGAAATCGCTAGCATCGATACAATTGAGGAATAGTACGTAAAGAGTGAGCCTGGTGATTTTTGTAGGCCCCTCGTGAGGGGGGCTGAGCTTTTGTACTTTTTTGGAGATATTTATTGCCTAGAGTTTGATTGTGTGTCGTTGTTATGGCGATTCATGGTCGGAGGAAAAGGGCAAGATGCAGGTGGTTCCCTTGGCGGCGCCTTTGCATGAGGTAGAATCTGTCGTCTGACGAAGCTTTCTCTGAAGAGTAGCTACCGGGTTGCCTTCTCCCCGGACAGCTCTATGCAAGTTAGCATACCAACCGCTTCGGAGCCGACGGGCGGCGGCAGCGGGCCAAGCTGCAACGAGGGGCCAGAGTCTGTGCAGCGCCTGCGCAGGGACTGAGAACCTTGTCGGCCCCAGTGTCTCTAACAGCCGTTGCTAGCCTGTCCACAGCTAGTGCGGGGCTCTTCAACCGAGCTTCCATGCCAGTGGAGGTCGGATAGTCGATCCCCCGTCGTCATGTCGCAATTGACAATGTATGTTGACCGACATACATGTATACGACACCTTTCCCAAGCCTTGTATGTGTGTCCTCTGTCACTACTTTTCCTTTGAAACGTAACTGATTCCACGAACCACCTGTACAGCGTGGTCCTCTAGCTCCTCATGATGACGATTCAAGCCTCCAAGTTTACCCCAGAGGTTCTGCTCTCTGCCCCGCGCAGGTCCCCGGGCATTCCTAACCCATCTGGCACGAAAGTGCTCTATACTGTGAGTTGGCAGTAAACTGGACGAGTCCCAGACGTCGCAACATTGCTATAGGATTTCGTGCTTCTCAATTGAAGTGGTGAGCGCAGACTAACGTACCTCAGGTCTCGACCTACTCATTCGAAAGCCACAGCAAGACCTCCCAAACGCGTGTTCTTGACGTTGAGAGTGGTCATTCTAGCCTCCTTTACGAGGAAGCATCCTACAGTGACGTGACATGGATTTCGGACGAGGAGATCCTGATACTGCGAAGCGGTGACAAGGGGGCTACGACCCTTCTGCTGGGAGATGTTACGAAGCCGTCTACGTAGGTCGTCTCTGTCACCAGGCATGCTAAACCCTTCGTTGACGTCAGCCATTACAGAGTTACCGAGATCCGCCACTTTGAGGGCAGCTTGTCAAGCCTGAAAGCCAAGCGACTATCCGACGATGAAGTCGCCATTGCCGTCGCCGTCTTGACAACCCCGGAGGGTGCCATGTACAACCCGGTAGCCGAGAAGAAGCAGTTGACGACGGGCAAGGTGTACTCGAGCCTGTTTGTAAGACACTGGGATGCCTGGGTGTCTGAAAACCAGAACTCCATCTGGTATGGTCTTCTGAAGAAGAACGACAAGTCGTACAAGTTCGAGGGTCATGGTTTGACCAATGCCCTCGAGGTCTCGCGGCTGGTGTCTCCGGTCCCCCCCTTTGGTGGCAGCGGCGATTTTGATATCGGAAAGCACGGCATCGTCTTTGTCGCGCGCGACCCCAATATCTCCCCGGCCATTTACACAAAAACAGACCTCTACTTCCTGCCTTTGAAGTCCTTTGCCGAGGACAAGCCGGGATTGCCTCAAATTGTCAAGACTAGCAAGCTCCGTGGTTACTCGGCGGCACCCGTCTTCTCCAGGGACGGCAAGAAGGTCGCCTTTACCCGGATGAAGAGCGATCAGTACGAGACTGACAAGCCAAGGCTGCTGCTCGTTCCCGACGTCTTCGACCTGGCAAGCGTACAAGAGTTCTACCAGACAGACGACGGCGCCGGCGGCTGGGACGCGCGGCCCGAATGGATCACCTGGAGCAAGGACGATTCGGAGCTGTACGTATCGGCGGAAGAGCACGGGCGTGCTAAGCTCTGGAAGCTGCCGGCGACTCCGCACGAGGCGAAAGACCTTCCCGCAGCAATCTACGAGGAGGGTTCTGTTGTCGAGGCGAAGCTATTGGGAGATGATGGAGAGAAGCTCTTCATCAGCACGTCATCTAGGGTCGAGAACTCGGCTTACTCCGTTCTGGATCCCGTCAGTCAAAAGACCGATCTCGTATCCTCGAGCTCCAAGCACGGAAAGTCGTTCGGTCTGTCCAAGTCTCAGTGTGACGAGTTCTGGTACAAGGGAGCCGAGGGATACGACGTTCACGCCCTCGTGGTGAAGCCGTCCAACTTTGACGAGAACAAAAAGTACCCGCTCGCGTTCCTCATTCACGGAGGCCCTCAGGCCGCGTGGATGGATAGCTGGAGTACGCGGTGGAACCCTGCCATCTTTGCGGAACAGGGCTATATCGCAGTCATGCCCAACCCGACGGGAAGCACTGGTTACGGACAGCAGCACACCGACAATATCCAGAATGAATGGGGTGGACGTCCGTACGTGGACTTGGTGAAGTGTTTCGACCACATCGAGAAGAACATTTCGTACATTGATTGTGGCAACGCGGTTGCTTTAGGTGCTTCGTACGGAGGATACATGATCAGTGAGTTAGGACAGCAGTGTATCACGTAGCGACAGATGCTAATCCCTCGCAGACTGGATTCAGGGTCATGAGCTCGGAAGAAAGTTCAAGGCATTGGTCTGCCACGACGGTGTATTTTCAACACTGAACCAGTGGTCTACCGAGGAACTCTTCTTCCCTCTGCATGACTTTGGCGGTCCTCTTTGGGAGAACCGAGAGGGCTACGAGAAGTGGGATCCCGCCCACCATCTCGACCAGTGGTCGACGCCACAACTGGTCATCCACAACGAGCTAGACTACAGACTTCCCATTTCTGAGGGCCTCGCCATGTTCAATGTTCTGCAGGCGCGCGGCGTGCCTAGCAAGTTGTTGATGTTCCCCGACGAGAACCATGTGAGTGCTTAGCTACAGACGATGTTTGCTGGGTACCCTGATTACTGACGTGTGTGAACAGTGGGTTCTGAAGCCTGAAAACTCTCTTGTCTGGCACAGAGAGGTGTTGGGCTGGATCAACAAGTACACAGGACTCGACAATTCTGAGGATGTGGCTATTAGGCAGTAATATGGAGTAGGAAGGTCTGGGAAGGAATGGTGAGAGTAGCGATATGTTGTAAATCGTGGGTCGTGGCGGTACTCAAAAAGTTGAAATGCCATTCCTGATTGGAAATAATCAAGAGGATTCGTCTACCTTGTGTCGCTGAGGCAAGGCATCCAAGCATAAGGGGCTAGAGGAGTGCTGTGCAAATGTGAAGATGCCTGCCTTACATTGAAGTTGTTCGAGAGCATTCGTGATAAGGTAGTAAGTGCCCCGAGGGCAAGTACAAGGTAGGTACAGTATCCACACTGTCGGAGGAGCTCTCCCCAGCGGTTCCCCATCCTGCAGTAGCTCCCACCTCACCTCCTTCCGATACCTTTAGGTTCTGTTCACTGCTGGTCCGAGCTCCTTCCATTTCACCAAGGCTGAAATTTCGCGAACTTGCACCTTCTTCACCCACCCTTTAACTAAAGAACGACTTGCACATAGGGATTGACGTGACCAACGGCTTTCTTCTAACCTATATGTCCATCCAGTGACGACTTGCGACCCGAAAATTACGCGTCACAACATCATGCGAAGCTTCCTGAACCTACCTCAGAACCGAAGGTGACCGACGAAATCGCAAAACCCACGAACGAGCCCAGTCACAGCAAACCCGCGATTTCCTCTCGAGCCGCTTACTACCCTTGATTCTTGGCCCCGACAAAATCTTTGAGCTCTACGATACTCCCGAGGGCGGAAAGAAACAATAAGCTTAATTCAAATTTGAAAATACCCAAATACACGAAAGGACAAACGGAAAAGAAAATGACAC